CGAGAAACCCTGTCTCAAAAAACCAAAAAAAAAAAAAAAAGATTCGTGTTACATCTGCCACTTTGTCTCTCCTGATTGGGGGTCTATTGTAAGGGATGTGTCTCTATTTGGACTAATGGAGGACCACAGAGTTCTGTTTTGGTGTGCAATAATCTAGCTCTCAATTGTGACTTTGGGACAATAGCACTTTCCTTGTACACGTGAGTTAGCTATGGGACACTGACCTTCCAATTAACTTAGTCTTCCTTGGATCTGGGACCCCACCTGAGGAACAGCAGCACCCCTTTTTGGTGTGGGGCCTCAGCAGAGAGCCATCACATGTAGCAGCCCTGGGGGCCTCTGCTGGGAACTAATCCAATGCCCTGACTGATGTCAGTCATTCTGGTCACTGGGCTATGACAGATTTACTCTTGGGGAGCCCCATACCAGGACTGCAGCCTGGGGCTGTGGACAAAGGGCAAAGCATGCAATACATCACAGTTGTCGACTGGGGAAGTGTTGGTAACTACCGTTTACTCCAAGTCACCATGGGATTTCTGTGTGGCCATGTGCTTATCCCCTTTGTAAAGTGTGTGTTCCTGCAGATGAGCTTTAGGTCTGGGGCTGCATGCTCCCCAGCGTGGCTTTAGGGCCCACAGATGGTTCTGCCACCATCATTAGTGGCTGTGTTTCCTGTAAGGTGTCCATCTTTCCACTCCTGCAGTCTTCTGTGCTTGCTAGCTGGCACTTGTTTGTGGGGATGAGTGATTCTCTCTCCTCCACCTTCATATCACACTTTTTCGTCTACCACAGAGGCCTGGCTCCTTCCTTACCCGAGGTTCAAAGAAGCTTTTGTGTGCTGGCTCTAGGGTTTTATTTCCCCAGGCTGGACCTGTCATACACACAAACTGAAAGGAGTGAGTACCAGAGAAGCAGGCTTAAGGATGTCCACTACACCACGGTGAGCGATATTACACATGTAGAAACAACCCTGCTCTGGGGACTTCCAGCCATTTTCCATTTGTTTGCGGAATTCTAAATGCATACAGCAGAACTATAAAAAAAATGTGGAAAACATCAAGCGTTTTTCTTTGAAGGGAGTTATAGAATAATCCCAGTAGAATGTCATTTATGACATAGATAGAACAAAAGGGCTTCTTCATTTCTATGTGTTGCGTGTCTGTAAATAGAGATGAGAACCAAGACTCCTGGGAAGTGGTATTGTGGATTTGGGAGGAATTACCTGGTTCAGATCCTTTGTTTCTTCAAACAGACTGCCCTTCCCTGGACACTGACAGCTGGAGACAGTACACCATTTGGACACAGATCTGGAAATGGGTAGGCAGGCTGTTAAGGGACTCTGGTATCACCCAGGAGCAACGATTGTGTGTGTGTGTGTGTGTGTGTGTGTGTGTGTGTGTGTGTGTGTGTGTGTCCTACTGGGCACCAGGCTCATTGCCTTGCCCTCTTGTTAGGGGCCAGTGTCCTGCAGCTCGTATCCTAGTCAGGTCATCTCATACATTACCACCATGTGTTGAACAGTGCTGGGGCAGGCCCCGAGTAAGGACATTCTGTGTCCCCCTGTGACCTGAGTTCTGTGTCTTATGACAAATGGAAGTTCCACCCATGTAGGCCAGGCAAGAGATCAAATGGCTGAAGGCTCAGTGGCTCTATTTCAGCTGGATGTAAGGGGCCACCAGTCTGTGGGATGAGGAGGCGAAGGAGGATGCTGCCATGAGGCCAGTTTCAACTCCATGCCACACAGCACAGCTGGTTTCTACTCAGCACATTTCTCCCATGGGAGCTTATCTTCTATCTCAAAGAGGCCATGCCATTCAAGTTTATCTCGTGTGGGTGTGTGGGTGGGGCAGAGTTCTCATCTTTATTCATATCCACACCAAAGCTCTCCTCCGATTCACTTGGATGGGATTCATGGCTCTCTCAGCCTACCCTTGGGCTGGGATCCTGACCTGGGTCCCATGAGTTTACTAGATGCTGCCACCTTGGCATGGCCATTTGTGTGCTTTGAGAGTCCAGGAAATCTTCCTTACAGCCTTCAGAAGGACTAGGGCCTTGTGACACCTTGGTCTGAGCCTTCTGGCCTCCAGAGCTCTGATTTAGTCAATGTTATCCTCATGCCCCTGGGCTGTGTCTGCTGTATAGGCGAGGGTCCTTCATATACAGCTTCACAGGATGTTGGTCTAAGGTTCAGTGAGCCTTGCTGGAGATTTTGTGACAGAGAAAGAAACAAAGGCAGGCTTTGGCTCAGATAGCACAGAAGGCAACCTACTCAGGGTTGTCTTGACTGAATGCTCAGGGCCAAGCCTGCAGGACTCTGAGCCAGTGGGGTTCACAGGAGCAGATAGTCTGGTACTTCCAGGTGAGAGAACTCTTATCTGGTCAGCTTCTGGATGTTTCAGGCCTCACTGCAACCCTCGGATCTCCCCATAAAGTTGGGCCTGCTCTGGCATAGGTTTGTGTGATGCTAGGTCCTTCAACAGGGGTTTAGTGGGTGTGTTAGCCTTTCTCACTGCTGTGGCCAAAATATCTGACATAAGCAATGCAATTATGTTGGCTCACAGATTTGGAGGGTTCAGCCCATGGTTATCTGCTCCCATGAGCTTGGGCAGGTCATCACAATACTGGGAATGGGAATGGGCTGGGCAATATATAGGCCTCAGGGACACAATCTCGGTGATCTAACTCCTTCAATGAGACCCCACCTTCTAAAGCTTCCATCGTGTCCCAAAATAGAACCACCGGCTTGACCTAGTATTTAACACATAAAGATGAAGGGGACATTTTCTCTTCAAACCCTAACTATTGGTGATATTATTAAGGCCACTCCACGTAGTTAAAAGGGAGGTTTATTTAGTGTCATAACTTACAAATGAAGGGATAGATAGGTTGCAGATTCTGGGAAAAACGCAGTGCAGTCCAGCGGTGTTCTCTGGAGAACTCTCCTCGGTCTACCTCTAGCATCCAGGGTCCAGGAAACAAGAGAGAGCGGTGCATCTGGATCTTGGGTCTTCAGGGTCCTCTCTTGGCCCCGCCTTGTAGGCGTGACGGTTACGGAACCCTCTATGGGGGTTGGAATTTCCAGACCAAAGCTGGAATGGCTACCCACTACACCTAACAACTGGGTTTAGTTAGGTATGTCAGGAAAACAGGACACCTCCCGACATACCTCAACTACAGCCAGTCTTCCCCTGAGGTTTGCAGGTCTTGCCTGGCCCCCGGCTTCTCCTTGAGAAACTTTTGCCAAGCTATAAGGTCCAAGGGACAGCTTTGATGGCCGAGGGCCTGGAAGGCAGAGGGTTCTATGGGGGACACCTCTCCATGCCTTTTCCTGCTCCTCAAGGCTGCAAACACATAGCAGGGGATGGAGTTAAGAGGCCTGGGAAGCTGGGCAAGGGAGGCATTGGGACCCTGGAGGTATGCCCCCTGCCTCTATGACCTGCCACAGTCAGAGCTCAAAATCATGGAGGGAAAGCCCAGAATAAGCACCTACCAATGACTACTGAGGTGGTCTCCTTAATACTGCATGCAATGAGGGCAGGTAGGCTGCACCTGCAGGGTGGGCAGCTGGTGGGTACCCCATCTCTGCACACCCACAACCTGGCCTGGAGGACAGAAGTCTCTCCTGTTTTATCTCTGGGCCCCTGGTGTCCTGAGGGGTGCTGTGAGAGACAGGGCCATGACCTGCTTTCTGGTTCCCTTATCTTTATCCCGCCCTTCACTGCCAAGTTTCAGTGTGCAGAATACTTGGATCGCCAGCTCCATGGCTATGATCTGGGGACCCCCTCACAGCCTTATCCCCACTTTGGAAGCCAAGTGAGCTGTCAAGAAGGGCCCACCTGCTGCTTGCTAAGGAAGCAAGAAATAAAGCATCTCCAGCCTCACTGGCCACTTTGGCGGAGGGAGGCACACCAGGAACTGCACAAATTAGCCCTAAATGTAGCCAGGGCTTTGGTGTGCACTATGCTCCAATGTTGTAGGCACTAGTGGTTTGGGTAGCAATAATCAGGCTGGTCTTTGGTGACCTCCTCCCAGGATGCCTTTCAGTTAGTGAAGGGTGTGCCTTCAGTGTGGCCTTGGACCCTTGGCAGCCTCCACAGCCCAAATCCTTGCCTATACACTCCAAAGTGCTCTGGGTGTGGAGAGCTGGATGGGCCTGTCCTGCAGCCCACAGGACTCCCAGCTGTCTTTGGGCGGCCTCTGGCTGGAGGCCTCTGTAAAGTGGGCGATCCTAACTTCAAGGCTCATGGTCTTTCTCCCGGTGCCTCGGGGGACTTGAGATCAGGATGGAGCAAGAAAAAAATCTCCCTGTAACTGCACAATAGTCAATGTACTGCTATCTGATGGGATCATTGAATCAAGAGGCAGAGTGATGAGGAAAGAATGTGCTCCATTAACAACAAGCCAACATGTGGGAAGACCGCGGCTTCTGTGTAGGTTAAAAGGACTGACGTCTGGTCTTTGTTGTGGCTGAACTTCTGGCCAGGACCCTTCCAGGTGTGAGTCTTGACCATGTCATAAGTAGGAGGTTCTTAGGAAGGGATGTTCCTGTTCCTTCAGTGCATAGTTAATCAATAAAAGATGGCCTTCGGGGGCTGAGGAGGGCTCAGTCAGTCAAGTTCGTGCTTTTCAAGCTTGAAGGCCTGAGTCCAATGGCAGAACCCATGTGTGGTGCTTTGAATGACATGTCCCCCATCCTGGTCTCCAGTTTGTGGTACTGTTTTTGGGAGGTTTAAGAGGAACAGCATTGCTGGAGTAGGTGTGTCATCGAGGAGTCGGCTTTGAGAGGAAAAAGCCTTCTTCATTTCCAGTTCTCTCTCTCTCTCTCTCTCTCTCTCTCTCTCTCTCTCTCTCTCTCTCTCTCTCTCTCTCTGCTTTGTGCTTATGGCTCAGGATGTAAAGTTTCAGCCATGCCTGCCTGCTGCCTCTGCCCTGCTGTGATGGACTCTAACCTTCTAGAAGTGTAAGCCAAAACAAACTCTTCTATATATTGCCTTGGCCATGGTATTTTATTACAGGAAAGTAACTAAGACATCATATAAGAAAAAGGGGAAAAAAAGAAAAGAAAAGAAAGAAAGAAAAAGGTAGTCTTGGTGTCATGCACTTGTAATCCCACGGCTGGGGAAGTAGAGATGGGCAGATCCTTGGGGTGTATTGGCCAGCCAGCCTAGCCTAGCTGGTTAGCTACAGTCCAGTCAGAGATCCTGTTTCAGAAAAAAGTGGACAGTGCCTGTAATAACAGACCAAGTCGTCAGTTGTCCTCTAGCCTCCCCATGCTATGTGCCCCCTGTGCGCGCGCGCACACACACACACACACACACACACACACACACACACACACACACACACACACACACACACAAATAGACAAACTTCAGTGGGCAGCTAGTCCCACTGAAGCGGAGCAGGCAGGAATGAGGAGAAACTTCTGAGTACCGGACAGAAGAGAACTCATGTACACTCACTCCAGGCCATCTCTGTGGGCACAGGCCAACGGGAGCAGGAAGGTCCCAAAGTGTAGGGGCCCAGATGAGCACCTTGCAGCTCCTTGAAGCTTCGTGAATCTACAGTAAGTCAGGACTTCTGTGTGACATTTTTTCTGCCTCCTGGAGCCCTCGGCCACTAGGGGGAGCAAGTAAATCATGTCGGGGCCAGACCCACTGAAGGAGGGCGTTCTGAAGATGGTGGGAGCTGATACTCTAGGCTGAGACAGGAGGGGCTCCGGGTGGATTGAAGGTCAGAGATAAGAGATGACAGGAAGGGAAGCCTGGGGCTGCCTGATGTCAGAGCTGATTCTTTAAAAGGTTGAGTAGTCTTGGGGCTATGTCTTCAGGAGGAGGGTTTTAGGGGTGGCTAGAGGTGGTCCTTCCATTAGAGGTAAGACATGAGGAGATGCAGGATGCAGCTCCGGGGTCAAGTGGAGAAAGACGACGAGAACAGAAGCACTGGGGAGGGCTGGCCATCAACCTGAGGAGCATCAAGGAGGACCCTGTACCATCTCCTAGTGTGCCCACATCTTCATCCCTCAGTGCCTCAGACAGGGGTACAACTGGATAGGAACAGAGGTACTCATGCCCCAAGGGAGTGAATACATGGTAGTGAGGGGCTGGGAGCATTGCCAGCCCCTCACCAGGCTGCTGGCAACCACTTGCCCTACGAGTCCTAATGCTTCTACTCTGGCCGTCTGTCTGTCCTGTGCAAGCAGGATGGGACAGGCCTTATCTTTGGGTGACAAGAGAGTGATGGCCGTTTCAGCCCAAGGCCTTTCCAGCTAAGAACCTAAGCAGCCACTGTGACTAGTGTTAGGTTAAGCCCTAGATTTGGGAACATATCATGAGCAGAGACGCTGACAGCCGCAAAGGTTGCCGCTGATTAATTCTTACCCAGCAAAATGCCACAGGCTGTCAGACACACAGCTCCTCTGTCTGCGGTGGTAAATGGCTTATTGATCACTAGCAGGAGCTCACGGAAATCTAAAGAGCATCCTCGAAGGGCCAGACTATAGGGATAGCAGGCAGCCAGGATGAAGGCAATGGTGTCGCAGCTTGGACTCGTAGACTTGGGCGCTCCACCTGGTCTGTGCCCGTTCTGGGACCTGGATTCCCAGGACATGGTCTAGCTGGAGGAGATATAGCATGGGAAATGGGATGCCTTGAACCCAGGTGCCTGGATCTGTGATGGATGCTGCATGTTAGCAAGCAAGGAGCTCCTCTCAGAGCCTGGCTCTCCACTGCTCCTGGAAGAGAGATTTTCCTTTCCCAGTTTTAAGGGGGACAAAGGCCAGCACCATCTGCATGAGAAAGGCTGACAGATGTTGGCATGGCCAGGGGCTGAGCCTATTCAGGTTAAGTGTGAAAGCAAAGGATATAAAAGATCAAGAAACACTGACAGGCACCTACCCCTATTGGGTGGGTCAGGCCTCCTGCCTCCAGGGTAAACAATCTGGAGACACACAAGCATGCACACAACACATTCCCATATAGCAACTTGAACACGTGTGGGGGACACATTTGCATATACCAGCACACACAAGCACACAATGTATTCTCACATTCATCCTACACATAGTTATTCACATTTGTTCACACATATGTGTACACACACACATACATATGTATACACACACACACACACACACACACACACACACACAAGTATGTGCAACCCATACACATGTATGTGCCTCAAATAAACTCACATGGAGCTGATGGAAAGATTCTCTATCATGCAAGACAGAGGCTATAACAACAATATTAGAACTATTTTCCAGCAAAGAAATGTTTTTTAAATGCCTGCTTTGTACTTTCATTTAAAAACCAAGAAAACATGGACTCAAGAGCACAAAGGATAAATAAGATGTCTTCATAAAGTAAGTTGTTGTTTTTTTTTAAAGCAGAGAAGCTGTCTACAAGTCATGTAAGCATGAAGAGCGTGACAGGAAAGATTAGAGAGACCCGAGGAATCTAGAGGAAGGCACACCTGTATGGACGTGGGCTTGAGAAGTCTATTCCCGTTCTCCAATGCTGGCAGCTGAGAAATAGCACCAGAGAAAAGACATCAGAGAAAGGACGGGCACATCTTGAAATTTAAAATACTTATAGTGGGTCTTGAAATAAATAAAGCACAGAATGGCTTAAACAATTGGTTACCGAAAATAATTCACTATAAAAAAGCAGTTCTTGGCCGGGCGGTGGTGGCGCACGCCTTTAATCCCAGCACTCGGGAGGCAGAGCCAGGTGGATCTTTGTGAGTTCGAGGCCAGCCTGGGCTACCAAGCGAGTTCCAGGAAAGGCACAAAGCTACACAGAGAAACCCTGTCTCGAAAAAAAAACCAAAAAAAAAAAAAAAAAAAGCAGTTCTTACGAACAAGTGAAGTCACGTCCAACACCATAACACTTGCACATCTCAAAGGAAAACACGTCGTGAGTGGTGGTGCACACCTGTAATCCAGGCATTCAGGAGGCTGATCCAGGAGGACTGGGTTTGTGGTGGTCCTTCCATTGTCTCTTTTCTTTTTTAAAGGACTTTTTTTGTTTGTTTGTTTGTTTTGTTTTTGTTTTTGTTTGCTTGTTTGTTGAGACAGGGTTTCTCTGTATAACAATCCTGGCTGTCCTGAAACTTGCTCTGTAGACCAGGCTAGCCTCGAACTCAAAGAGCTACCCTACCTTCACCTCCCAAGTGCTGGGATGAGCCACCATCACCCGGCTGTCTCTTTTCTCTTAACAATTAGTCATAATTATTCCTTCATAATTATTCCTTCATAATTGCCTCTACCATGTCTGGTGATTATTGATTGTGTTTTACATTGTGTATGGAGGAAGTAGTGAGGGCCAGGTGGCATTATCTTTCACTTGGGAGGGTCTCTTGCTCTCGTGAGAAGGTGGGGTAAGGGCCTATCACGTGAGAGCAGTCAAGACAGAGTCTTTGTGGAGGCAGATGACCATGTCTGCAGCTTGTCTGTCTGCTCAGTGCATGGCCTTCTGAGAGGGAGTAAGGGCTGTGCAAGGTCCGTCTCCACCACAGCGCCCTCCAACTTCCCTCTCTTATTTTGTTATCTGTGATGCTCTTGGCAGAGGGAGAGATTTGTGGCACCCAAGGAGCTTCCTCCCTGACAGACAGGGTGTTGGAGATGTCGCTCTGCCCTGGGATCTCTTACCGGCCCCCAACCTCCCTGGTAGTGAGGTCTGCAAAAGGCACTTGGCAAGCAAGCCTGGCGGTCTGAGTTCTAGTTCCCACATAAAGGGGAAGAGAAAACCATCTCCAAAGAGTTATTCTCTGACCCCGACAAGCCTGCCAGGGCACACATGTGCACACACTCACACATGTACACAGGAATACACACAATAATAAAATAATTAAATATGTGGGGTGTGGTGCTGACCTTTAATCCCAGCACTTGGGAGGCAGAAACAGGATGATGTCTGTGAGTTCAAGACCAGAAAAGCCAGGGCTGTGCTGGAGCCTTGGGCTCCCAGGCTAGCTATTCAGCTGAAGCAACCACTGGAAGTTCTAGTGGTTTCTCTTTCTAGAAGAGGATCCTTGTCAGGCCAAACCAGTGCTCAGCCAGTCCTGGAGGGTGGGTTATGGGTAAGTGGGTGACTGGGTGGTAGTGGAGATGATGGTGTGGTAACATCAGTAACATCTGGGACAGGCAGTTTGTCTGCAAGGGGTCTGCCTGTCCTCAACCTTTGTTGCGTGCATAGCTCCCAGGTACCTCGGGTATTGTTTTTGCACCTTATCTGACTATTTCTGGAAGCAGCAGCCTATCATGTCCACTGTGCCTTGTTTTGAGTGGAACTTCTGTGTGCTTCTTTGACTGGTCTGGTCAAGCATTGATCCTCTGACTCCCTCCCTGAGAGCAAAGTTGTTTCTCCCTGGCTCTATCTGTCCTGCTTGCTGCTGCTGGGTCTGTCTTTCATCTTGCTTGCTTAGCTCAGCAAGATAAAGAATTCTGACTTAATTTATTTTTTCACTGCAGAATTATAAAGATTTTACAACTCCTAAGTTTTAAGTCAATTTAAATTATAGTTTAGCAGGGTGCTGGGTGAAATCGCAGTCCTGCCCTGTGGTGGCCAACGGGCCCTTGTGTGGGCTGCATGCAGAGTTGGTTTGGTAACAGAGGGAACTGGGAAAGGAGGGGGGCAGGCAGCCTTGTGACACTGCTGTGTCCCCTCCAGGCCAGTTTGGATGTGCTGGCTCTTCAGTATGGACTGCAGCCCACATAGGCATCCCCCAAACAGTTCACACTGTTCTATATTCCCAGAGCTCTCCTGGCTCCCTGAGGCTAGGCCCCAGGGTTTCTCCTCATTCTCCCCCAGCCTGGGGATCAGCTCTGTCCTGCCTTCTATAGGCTCAGCCTTAATTATCTGCAATGCCAAGTGCCTTCCACCAGAACTCTGCTGCACAAGTTGTGTGCAGGGGCTATCTCTGGGGTAATTTAGATATTTATGGGATAGTTCATTATTTAGAGAAAACGAAGTTATGTCTTTTCCAAGTATTCATATAAATCAATACCAGCTGGATTAAAGAAAAATAAAAGAAAAAATGATGTTTCAAGGGAAAATGTTCACATACATAAACTCTGCAAGCACTCTACCACTGAGCTACATCCCCAACCCTTGCTTTTTGAGGCACAGTCTCATTATGTAGCCCATGTTGGCCTTGAACTTACAACCTTCCCGATTCAGACTCCCAAGTGCTGGGATTATCCCACTACACTCAGCCTGATACAAACTTCTAAGCATAAGCCTAAAGAAGAATCATCAGAGAAAAGTCTGGATAAATTTAAGTGGTTGTGATTTTCACACAGAGAGACGTTCAAAAATTCTTTCAGTGGATTAACAGCCAAGTGACAAAGAGGAGGGAATATTTGCAACAGATGCAAAACTCTGACACCAATAAAAAGACAAATGTCCCAGAGGAATGGAGAAAGAGCAGGAAGAAGCAACAGAAATAAATGAAATGTCACTCTTTGGTCACAGAGCCACTAAGGTGAAACCAGATAGAGCTGGTCACAGCTGCTCCCCTCCCTAGTCTCAAGCCCTCTTGAGCGGTTGGCCCTGCCGGATGCCCCCTTTACTGAGGCCTCTTGTTTAGACTGTGCCTAGACTTTCCAAAGGCTCATTCACATAGTTTTCTAACCAACAGCCAGTTTCCCTTGGTGACAAACTCACTCCAGAGCACAGGAACCTGAAGGAAGTCAGAACACAGATAGAAGATGTTTGCAGTCAGGCCGCCTGGCGAGACTCACACCCTACCTACAGAGCCCTCTGCTCATCGTGACTGAGCCTTTCAGCCTTGCAAGGATCCCCTCTCCATACTCACAGCTCTCTGCCCTAGCAGTAAGTTAATAGCTCTTTCTGCCTTGGGGCTTCAGTGCTAGCTCGGCTTTCTGCTTGAGCAATCACTCAGGTTGCCCGCTTACCAACTCTTTGCGCAATCTCACTTCATTCCAACGTTCTCCTCGATGGCCAGGCGGGAAACAGCTTGGCTGGACACCGGCCTGACTTTCTCTGAAAGCCTGAACTGTCACAGAGGGAGGCTGTGCTGGTGGCTGGTCTTGCCTGTTACAGTTTTGCCAGCTTCCTTCCTGGGGCAGGAGTATCAGGGTGGTTTGGGGGGACTCTTCCTTTTCCTATCACCACCATAGCATGAGGCAAGCATGAGCTAGCCAGAAGGAGGCCTGAACAGCAAATACACTCAAGGAAGGCTACAAGGTCAAAGGCAGGCCAGAAGGTCATAGCTATTATATTGCTATAGCTCTTGACAGCTCTGATTTTTTTAGAGTGTTTTTATGTTTTCTTCTATTTTACACATTTTTTTATAATATCAATAGGTTGGTTTATCATTAAGTAAGTCAGGAAACATTATTTTATGGGAAAACTTTGAAGTGTGTGCTCATCTGAGCAAATGTCTAGCAAACAAAGAGGTCAGAGATCTGCCTGATGTGGGCAGGCTGAGGGAACCCTCTAGACCCCTGGGCCTGCTGGTCCAGGTTTGGCATAAGAGCTGACCTGTCCTCAGGTGGCTAATAGGGCCTAAATTGACAACTTCTGGCCAAAGGGCCATAAACAAGAATGTCAGTGGCCCAGGACTATAATCAGATGTTTCCTGTCCTAACTACCTATTCCCAAATAAACACACAGAGGCTTATACAAATTGTAAATGCTCAGCCAATAGCCCAGGCTTATTACTAACTAGCTCTTACATTTTAAGTTAACTCACATTCCTTATTTATGCTCTGCCATGTGGTGGTACCTTTATTAGCATGGCACAATTCATCTCCTGCTCCCTCTGCATCTGGCTGGCAACTCCTGACTCTGTCCTTCTCCTTCCCATCATCCTTAGTTTGGTTGCCCCACCTGTACTTCCTGCCTGGCTACTGGCCAATCAGTGTTTTATTAAACCAATTTGAGTGACAAATCTTTGCAGTGTACAAGAGGATTATTCCACAGCACAGGACAAGGTGCCAAATCTGCAGAACTTTCTGAGATACTTGTGGTTCAGAGATAGCCCCACATGCCCAACCACACTACCAGCCCTATCTGTGAGGCAGGAAGAATCTCAGAGGATGAGGGACTGGTATGAGGTCAGCAGGCTCAGAGAGGCCTCCTTTACCCAATGCTGCCAAAGCCATTGCCTCTTCCAGCCAAGGATGTAACTGCAGCCCTAGGTGCCCTCCAGAGCTCCATTCCCCTCATCTATCTCCTTCTCCCTCTTCCTTTCCTCCTTTTGTTTTAGGCACACAAAGGGATAGATTGCACAAAAGATCATAGCCACACGTGTATGTGGGATAAAATGTGAACACCAGTCCCTTCAAGACAGACTTAAAGGACCCATTTCTCCCTGGGTGTTCTGGAGCAAGAGTTAAACATCATTATGGCCGTATCGAATACTGTTAAATCACTGTTACTGTTAATGTATGGTCTTTGTGGTAAGCACCCCTGCTGATGTTTATCTTTTCCTTAAATAAGCTTTAGAAGTCAAGGGATGGGGGTCTAACTAGTTCTTTCTTGGTGCCCTTGCTGACT